CTCTAGATTTAGTCCTAAATTAATTCATGTAATTTTAAATTTAAATTACAGAGTTACATAAGTATCAATATGATTAAATTCACTTTCAAACAAATCATAATTCAACTGAAGAAATAACCAAATAATTAAAACAACTTGACTGTAAAGCAAACTCAATAATTTAGAAAATAAATACTTACATTCATAAAATGATTCATACTCTAATTACATCTACAAATTGAAATTCCTGGATAATGAAACAACTTCTTAGTATTTCTAGTCTATGAAATTGAAGCTACAAGTTTATCAATTACAAAGAAAATTGTAAGCCTACTTGAATATTACCTACAAAGTTATTGAATGTTGTTTTATCTCCAACAGAATTACCGCCAACAAACTATCTTTTATTCGTTATCAACCTACAGTCACATACCTACTTGATAAATAGGTTTTGAAGATCATGTAAACTTGATTGAATTGCAATATAGTTGTTGCTTTGTTAAGTTGTGTCCTCCTTTTATTGTCTTACTTTATTTTTTAAATGAAAAGGTTCAAGATAACTTCCATTAACTACTTACTTATTTTATCCACGATAACTTCTAGTAACTACTCACTCATTCTATTCTATTTATGGTGACTACCTACTCATATTTGAATTAATAGGCCTTTTGTTAGCCATATTTGGTAGGTTTTGATTTAACAAGCCTTTTGTTTATAATAAATTATTTTATTTGACTCGATTAAATATTTTATTTTAGTTCAGCTTGTTTCGATAGGTTATTTTAGTTTTTAAAATCTAAAACAAAAACTAAACCAAACTAAATTTGCATAAATTTTTTTAAATGAAATTATCCAAAAAATTTCAAAAACTATTTAAATTGGTTATTTTCATATCAATATTTACAATTATTTTACATAATTCAATTAATTTACTCACATATTACAAAAAAAACAGTGATAACAACAACACTGGAGTCGTGGCTTATTAAATGTTTTTTTTTTAGAGTTTTGAGAGTCTCTTAAGGTTTTTTATTAGAAGTGGTAGCGTTTTTCACTTCTGTTTCAATATTTTTCTTTCAATAATCTCATATTTAGCTTTTATGCCTCTAGTTATAACTTTCTTATTTTATTTTTTCTAGTTTATTTTTTTTCTTTACTCTTAAAGGTCTTTTCTTTAGAGTTCGTGTTTTTTTTATTTTCTCATACCCCTTTAGAGTTTTCGGTTGAGTTTCATTCCATGGATCTGGATAACTTAGAGGCGATTTGTTTGCCAACAATTCTTAATAAGAGGAAGGGATGTCTATAAGTTAGTATAACTACTAGTTGTTACTAGATTTAAGATTAATTCAGTTTCTCTTATACCATGTAAAATTGTACCAATAAAATGTTGATCTAAAAGTTAAGGCACTACTATATTTCTACAAGAATTATAACACAAGTTCAATTTTTAGAAAATATAATTATTAGAAGGATCAGCCATAAATCCTGAATGAGACTAGTCTCACTTTTTAAAAAGGTGTGAGGATATCTAAATAAAAACAAAAAAAATACCATGTAAAATTTTTCTGCTTTAACCTTTTCTTTTCTTTTCTATGAATGTTATCTTTCTTTTATTTATTTTGGATGGCATTTGAGATTATAAAACTCATTTTGTATTTCTTGTTTATCGACAAAATTTATTATCTTTCTTAAGAAAGAAAGAAAGAAATATTTATAATTTCATAAAATTAAAAAAAAATTATCTGCTTATACTAACTAAATTTCTTGTAACATGTATCAATAATTAAAATTTGTGATAATATACTTTAAAGAAATGGTGAGCTTTGCAATTTAAATTTTATGATACATAATTAAAATTGAGATTCAATAGAGAATCAGGGTTAATATAAATATTAAATATGATATTTGAATTAAAAAGTTATTTGAAAATAAGCTTAGAGATGCTTAGAAAAAAAAAAAAGCAACAATGCCCATATGTGTGCTTATAAAGAATTAGGAGGAGATATACCAAGTTGACTACAAATTCCAAGATATTATTATAGTATTTTTTATAGTTCTTTTTAATGTAGGTATTTTTTCAATTTAATTGGTTGATTTGTAAAATTATTACCTCTCTATCTATCTCTAAAATGCTTGAATTTATTTATAACTACATAGACATAAATGATATAAATAAAACTAGGTATAAATAGCTAAAATATATTAAAAAATACAATGTGTATTCTACTACAAAACTTATTCTACATTCCTTAAATAAAAAAAAATTCTATAATTGTGAAACTCATATGAGATACCAAATAATTGGCTATTATATTTCTTTAAAAAAAAATAACTAGAATATATTGAGTTTGCCTTGAATGATTTTTCTAACATTACAATCTTTACCATAATGATATTATCTATAGATCAAAATATTTTGTGATTGGATTTCACTTAGTGTCTCTAATTTCACTGTATGTGTTTGAGATAGAATATTTTTTTAATTATAAATAATGCTTATGAGATAACAAATCTTATATTTCACTAATATTTCATATATATTTTCTCTATTTATTCGTTTTTGATCGAGGAGGTCTAGGAATCTGTGTTGCTTACCAATTTAAGGCTAACCCAATCATCACCTAAGAACTAGGGATCTGGGTTTGTTGAAAAATATCTATTTTGGCTAATAAATACATTTTTTTTGCCGATCTATTTTGGATTTGAATTTTAACTTGCTTTAATATTTATTTTATCTATAAAAATTATTTTTGACCAATCCATTTTATATTTGTCTAACCCCATGAAGATTTTGAATAGTATCCTAATTTAAAAAAAAATATTTATTTATTATTCTGTATATATATTGGATTCATTGAGATTTAGTCTATATTAAAAAGATTTTTTTTGGACTTGCATTCAAAAACCTCTTTAAAAAAACTTCTTTTTTATATAAAAAATAAACATTGTATTATTCATATATGGTGTTTGAGTTTAAATATTATTTTTTTATTTAATAGTTTAAATTTTTAGATTGGAATTATTTTTTGATAGACTCTTAATTTTTAACCTCAATCATGGTTTGTCAAGCATTTTTTTTCTGAACGGTTGCAAGCCTAAGCAAATTTTTTGAATTAATTAAAACTATGGCCATAGTTCCTCTTAGAAAGAGATCCCCATCCACTTGCATCTTCTTTTCAGAAAACTTCGGCCTTCTAGTCTGTAATTCCTTCCGAATCTGATTCTTAAAGATCACAAAATTAGTGATGGTGTGCTTCCAAGAATCGCATCACTTATAACAAGGTCTACCTTTATGTTGTTTTGGTGATGTCATTAGATGGTTTCCAACGAGCTTTATTTATTCGTCATGTATAATTAACTAGTCAAATAACTCTTCTGCACAACAAATGTCAAAAAAAAGTATTTTCGAGCAAACGACTCCTTATTAGCTAGCTTTTTTGCTTGTTTATGTGTCTTGCACCTATCTTTGTGTTCTTGGCCTTCTCTAGAGTGATGAACTTCTTTTTCATCTCTGCCCATGATTGTATGGAGTTTGACGATAGGTTTGAATACTAGTGAAAATCTATTTTAGTCGATGAAGGCCCACAAAAAGTCATGGCCTCATAGTTGTGGTCCTTGGGCAGCATCCCCATACTGGCCTAGAAATTAACTTAGCAATGTGCTCTCCAGTACTCTTATTGTCTTCTCTTGAAAACCACTAGAAATCATTAATCTTGAACCCTCTGGGAATCAGGCGATGGAATCTATCCAATTAGGGTAGAGCTTTTTGTATATTAGGTTACGAGCATCATTGATATTAAATGATTCCCATTGCTTGAAGATGCTAGACTAGGTCAACCCTAGCAATCAAGGCTTTAGCAGGTAGGTCGGGGATTCTATTATGAGCATGTGGATATTGTTGTTGAGGCTAGAAATACTTATTATTATATAGTCGTTAAGGTGGAAGAAGTTGCAGGTACTATTCCATAATTTCACGGGTGCAGCCTACTGATAAGGTTAAACATAGATTAGATAAGCATAGATCCAGGTAAGGGGTTGCCCTCCATGCTGACCATATACACGAGGTTGAGCCGGTTTAGGACATGGTGAAGTTATCTCAAGCGCAGCTATGTAGTCTGAGTTCACAAGGGGTATAACATAGAGACTAGAGGAGGCGTTGAGCAGTCTGAGCTTGCTTGATTTTAGCCAAGCGATCAAACATATACTGCATCGTCTTGTTAAAGGTAGAGAGTGATATTTGGCCAATGAGGGGTATGCTAGAACAAATTCAGTAAATGTCCAGAGTAATTTGGCCAATTTGGGCATCAGAAACTAGGAGCTCCCAATGACCTAGCTAGACATGTATGTTGCTAATTAAGATAAGTGGTCTAGAGAAATGTACGTAAGGTAGATGTTCTTTACCTTAATTTCACTTTCTTCCTTTTGAGTATGAACATCTAAAACTGTAGGGTTGTTTGCTACTCAAGGAAAAGGTGGTATTCTCACAATTCTTAGTAGTTTGCATCCCTTGCTAGTAAATCATGCATCCTCTTAGGATTCTTATATATTAGACTCCATAACAGTGTTCCATCGGGCATGCATGTCAGGTTATTCATTACCGATATAAATACCTCTCTTCCTTGGAGGAGCTTAAAAACCTTTATTGTTCTTACAACTCAAATCCGTAATGAGGCAACAACTACTTCGCAATCAAGGCAAGATTATGAATTATCCAAGAAAATTCGAGACATTAAGTCCAAATCAGCAAGGATAAGAGAAGTAATCCTAAAAACAATGATCGTCATATACACAATATATAGACTAGATTTAACCACAGAACTGAAATTAAGTTGTAAACTCAAGAGTTTATGTTAGTCGTATAAATCATAAGGGTTAACATAAGCTTAAAGTTATGAATAATTGCTACGAAGACTGCAAGCATGGGCCTCATTGTCTCAAATATTCTACCCTCCCCGTATATAACGAGGACAATGGAGGAGAAAAGGGAAATTATATTCTTTTTTAGACATGATAATTCCAGATTCAAGAAATAGAACCACTGATCATTCATGTTTCATAGTATGGAAATAAAAAGGGGGGAATGTAAGAAGGGCTGGACAAAGATTCTTTTCAATATATGCAAGAAAAAAGAAGAAGAAAAGGACAATGAGAAGCTGTTTGCGCACTACTAATAAAGCATCCCACTGTAGATCCCCTCAGAGGCAAAGGCAGACACAAGCAGCTCAGTCTGTACGACTTTCTTGTTTTGCACTATCAATCCGTGCCACTCTACACAGAAAACAACAAAGTAAGCCAAAGAGATAAGAGAAAATCTTTGGCTGGAAAGGCTGGAATCTCTGGTAAAGAAAACGCAGCCCACTAAAATCGACTGCCTGGGAACTTGATCCGTACATACACACCTCTGGCTTGCAGAGACCGGTGTTTTTGGAATCCAGCAAGACATCATTGAATTAGTCATCCTTGCTTTGAGAAGGAGACATTTTGCTTATACAAAATGATAATTTTGGATTCAGACATAACTAGAGGGTTTGGATTTAATTATGTATCCAAACAAATGCTTAATGAATTTGACATGGAAAATCGATATGGATTAGTGGTACAGCGTGCATTTTCCCCCTTGGATAAGACTTTAATATCTTTGGGACAAAGGGATCCAAAAGAGTTTTCAAGGGGAAGCAAAGGAAATTCAGGCGCTTGAGTTGACATATATATATATATAAGTAACCCACTCTACAAAGATATAAAAAAGCTAGTAAACCTAAAATTTGATGCACGCTTGACAATGCATTTTAAAATATTGACATTATAACATAACGTGTTAAAAAAATAACATTGAATCAATTTAAACTAACACTAAATTTACGAGATTATAATAATTTTATAAAATATTAAAAAAAAATTATTAATTATTAAAATTTAGTTATCTTTTCTCTAAATTTAAAAATATTTTTTTTATAGTTGAAATTAGTATCAATATAAATTTCTCTCTTTGCTATTAGAACATGACTATCCTTTCTCTCTTTATTCTTTAACACCAAGATCGATTTTTTTCATAAATAAGAATTTTATGTCTTTATTATTGGAATTAATCATTCTTTCTCTTTTCTTTTTAACAAAAGACTAAAAAATAAAAGTAATAAAATTTTATATTAAAATTAAATTTTAAAAATATGAATGAACAAAAAAGGTATCATTGGAAAAGTAGAAGAATGAAAATAATTATTTCGCACAAACTTTGAAACAACGACTCATTTTACTAGTTTTTTTTACTTTGATCCCTTGTCTTTTTGTATTTTGTCATTTCTTAACCATTGAACTTAAACTGCCCTTAAATTTTGTTTTAAAATAGTGAAATTAAAAAAAAAAACTTTTATTGCACAACAGGTCTATAGTGCATTACCTAATTAAATATTTTATTAAAAATAAGGACTTGTACTGATATAATTTTTAGAGAGATGGATCAGATTTTCATCCTTGATTAATTTGATCTAATGAGCGTGAGTCAATAAGAAGAACCAATTATACTCTACAAAGCGTAAGGGTATTCAATTTATCAGCCTAATACAATCTAAAGCAGAGCTGTTCGAACAATATTTATGACTGTAAAGAACTGGAGATGCAGAGCATAACATTTAAGATTGCAAATACTTATGCTCCAATATCCTCGCTTGAATTAGTTCTTTTCATGAATGACATACAAAATTATGTTAAATAATGTAATATTTCCATCTAAGCATTAACTAGGAGAATTCTCAAACAGATGTGTTAGGATACTGGCATGCAAACTCGATAAGACAAAAGGTAAGGGATAGAATAAAATGAAAAATGGGACACACAAGAATTTACGTGGTTCACCCAATTGGGTTACGTCCACAGGCAAGTATAGAAGGATTTTACTAAGTAATGTGGGAATACAACTTCTCTCTAATAATAGGAGAACAGCCAAAATCTCTCTATTACTAGGAGAAAACACCTCACTTACTATCTCACAAATACCTCATAATTTTGTGGGATTACTCTCTCCTCACCCTCTCTTCTTTCTCTCTACTTGCTCTCAAGTTTCTTTCTTATGGTGTGTGTATAATGCTTGGATGCATTGCCTATTTATAGGCAAGCATCCATGCAAAAAACAAGGGGTATGACAAGTAGCACCAATTTGGTGCCTACCATTTTTTACTAAGGTGTAAAAGGATAGCTTCACCTTCTCCCACCATTATTGACTTAGGTGGCTGGCTTCACATTCTCTCACTTGAAGACTTTGATGATTTAATCAAGTCTTCATACTTGATCATTTATGCTTCTTCTATCCTTTCTACACTTGTCATCTTCATGCTGCTTATGTTTCTGTTAGGTCGTAAGAGGATCTGCACCATATATATTTATCAGTATTGACCGGTTTCATCAAAGCATCTGCTGGGTTTTCCTTTGTGTGAACCTTCTAAAAATCCACGCTTTCATCTTCCGCCGCTTCACGAACAAAGTGATACTGAACATCTATATGTTTTGTTCTTGAATGAAATGCTGGATTCATTGCAATATGCAAGGCACTTTGACTATCATAATACAAAAGAATATTCTCTTATTTGTATCCGAGCTCCTCCATAAGTTTCTTTATCCATATTACTTCTTTACAAGCTTGTGTAGTTGCCATGTACTCAGCTTCTATTATGGATAACGCCACAACAGTCTATAGTTTAGAGACCCAGCTCACAGCTCCTCCTACAATTATGAACACATAGCCTGTAGTGGACTT